GAAGGTACATCCTATATTCAGTGTTTTTTTGTCTTCCCAAAGAGGTACCAGCACCTCCTTGGTCTTCCAAAGAAAGCTTCATAACTACATAATGGTTTGGCTGTAAGACTGGAGTACATGTATTTCATCTAGTGCCATTTACTTGCTACTTGGCCGGTATTTTTATTTATCTTTTCTTCAGGCTAAAGCATTGAAATGTCAACATCTTCATCCACTTTGACTTTTTAAAAAAATAAAAATAATTCAATAAAACAAAATAAAATGATGCTATTAACTTGAATATCCAACAAATGTGTATGTTCATACAAGTAGATTTAAAGATAGACAACCTTTGAAGATAGACAGCCTTGTACGAAAAATGAGATATTTTTAGAACTACATGAATTATTTATAAAGAATCACCTACAGCAAAGCAAGATATTTCTCAATTGGATTGGATATTGTGCAATTTAGCACATTATCAGATAATCCCTAAGAATATTATCCATATAATGTGGCTTTGCCTCCTACAGTCCAGAGGGTACATATAACCATATGGCATATTTATAAAATACATGTTTCTCAAATAAATTACATTGCATATATCCGTTTGCCAAAAAGAAACATGACTGCCTCATGAAAATATCATATGACTCCAGAATCATTAAACATATCCTTTTATTGTTTTAATGGAAACATGATTTTTTTTTTTCTTTCCTTTTTTACATAGATGTTCACAGAAACATCTGCACTCAATGAATTTTCCTAGTGCCTTGTAGTGGCTAGATTTTCACAATCTGAACAACACGCCCCTTTTAACTAGGCCATTGCACTGGAACCAACCATTATTGACTGGCAAGCGCAAACATCAATTAATTGATATGGCTGCGCTGCATGGATGTGTGGACAGAAAGGAAAATCAATTTGCTTCCCATATTTTCCAGTTAATGACAAACTAGTATTAATCAGCACCTCTATGTCAATCTAGATTGTCAATGAATAATGTGTCTCTCTGGAGCCAGAAGGTCATTAACTCATACATGTACTGTATCACAAAGTAAATACCATTTTGGTTCTGAACAGCTGAATTAAACATCTAGACTGTTAGTGTTTCTCATATCAAATATAATGTTATCTTATGAGGGGACTGATGTCATTTTTCTTCTCCCCTCTGTTTTATCACAAACAAACATGGACTTACTTATTTGGAGCTTAAGATTTTATACAGTGCACAACATGTGGCTTATCTTTTATACAAATAACAATTTGGTCCATAGTTCCTCTTTCATAGCCATCTTGGATAATCATTAACCAGCTTGGAGGGAGGGAGATTGCTGACTTTGAATTTATTCCATAGGTGCCAAAAAGTACCAGCATAATTTTATATCCCTGGAAGGCTTACAGTTTACACAACCTGGCTGTGTAACCTCATGACGCTATCAACATATGCTGTACATGTAGTTTAGCATTGTGGTATACAGTGCATACAGATGTATGTAGTAATGAATCATTTACTAACTACACACCCTGGCTCTGTATTTAGATCTAGAAACATGTATCAGGTTCCCATATGGTTGCATGTGTTGATGAAAAACATATTGAATTTCCACCATAATACCTCTCCACAGAAAGTAACTTGTGCCCCTTAACATGCAACAAGTATACCCACATATCATACATGTGGACAGGCTCCAATAAGCATTGTAGCATATGGATGAAATCGTCATTCACATTTCATATCATGGACAAGCCTGATCCCTTAGCATGCTCATGTAGCAAAAGGATTATAAAATATTGGACCTGTTAACTAATTTTAAGCATACTTTTTTGTACCAAAGTTCCTCTTGACAACTAAATAGCTTGCAAGTGTAGGCTTGCCTCAAAAAGCAACAGCTAAGGTATGCAAAGTGGATTCCATCAATTGAGATTCCATTATTCATAGCAGGTAAATGAAATGACAACCAAGGGTTAGAGTTAGTTGAAATATTGTAAAACAAGCAAACAGGTCTATTGGAAATAACAAAACGAAAGGCATGTGGACTTTTTTCTACATGTAGTTCTTCTCTTCTTCCCCCACCCCCTCCTCCCCTAATCCAGATCGATGCTGCAGATTACATGTATGTGGAGCCTAGGAAATTTACAGTAATGTGAACATGCAATGATAAAACCTACAGAAAGTTTGGAGCGAAATCATATAAACAGCTGTAATGGCTCCAAATTTCTTGTCGAAATTCAGTTCTCTAAAGTGATATAGTTTAAGATAAAATCTTATTTCCTTCCATAGAAACTATCCAACTTGTGATGATGTTGAGTTGAGAAAGCAATGGCACAGTAAATACTACAGATTCACATCATGGTCTCCTACAAATGTGCTTCCTGTTTTTGGAATGATTTCCGATGGCTGGCATGCCACCATGACTTGAAATTTCCTTCTCTCTTTCTCCCATAGTTCAGCTGTAAGTCATCATTCAACCTTCAACCAAGACCCTGGGGTTCTGCCTCCTAAATACTGGAAAGTAAATATCATGCAAGCATATTATACGATGTCTGTATCAGCAATCTTTCACTGTATAAAATATGGAGAATCTGCATCATACATGTAGTTGACATCAATAGAAATAGGCTAGGGAAGAGACCAGAGTGAGAAGAAACAGTAAGAGAGAAGAATGAAGGTAGAGACTTAAAAGGAGACAGAGAAGATAGGAAACATACTGAAGGGGAAGATACATCTACATGTATCATGTAGGTAGAACTAAATTAATATACGAAATGCAGAACGAGAGATTCAAACATGCCACATGTATGCTGGCCCAAATGTATTTAAGCTTGTACCTCAACAAAATCATTAGAAAAAAACTACACTAAGTACCACTACCTGTTAGAGAGTCATTGTAGGCCTGGCTATATGTACATTTTGTAGGTTATAGTTCAAGCTTCAAGTGTTAGCCAATATGCAAAGCTGCAAACTGATTTGTAGCTAGTGCTCTTGTTGAGTCTCTTTTTTTGATCAATAAGGAGAGGCATCTTGAATTAACAATGAAATTCCACCAAACTCAAGTCATCATAGCATAATCACAGTTATTGTGACCAGACAACAGAGATTATGGATTCCTATTGTGCCCTCTCCATAGGGGATAAAAAGGTCATTGTGGAGACATCAATATTGTTGCACACTACCAAACTGCCTTGTATTGATTTTCCTATATACGCAATTGCGGTTGAGCCCTGCTCAGTAGCTTTGGATGAAAGCAACAGTAAAACAACCTGCTGCATTCTATATAACTGTGAAAGGTAATAGACTAGACGGGTTAGTTGTTAATCCTAACACGTTTTACTCTCAGCATGTGCGAACCCTGTGAACTCTCACAGCCACGGTAAAGGGTTGAACTGCCTTATAAACCTTTAGAACATATTATTATTTGATTTATTGATGTTGGGTTTTTTTTTTGGGGGGGGGGTGTGGTCATTAATGATCATATGTGTGCATACAATGAATATAGGAAAATGTTATGTGTTGTGTATTATCGCAACTTACAAGTAAAATTAGGAGCATTAATGAACTCATCATTGTTTTCAGCATGCACTAATAAATTATTCATGGGACAATAGAATCACTACAGGCATAAAGAATCTACAATATTATCGATCACAACAAATACAGGCCTCACTAGAAGGAATTCAGATTTAATAGTTGTATACTAGGATCCATAATATGTAAAAGTGATTGCCAAAATATACCTGACTTGCAACTGTCTTCTAATTTGGTTAGGAAAAAAGACAAGATTAGCATTTCTCCTGGCAGTAGATATTTTTAAGAAACACAGACACGTATGTAATGAATCATCATGAAGTAAATAAACTTTTGCAAATTTTGCAGCCTTGCAGTCTTGTTTGATGTTTTTCTCATGCATGCTGTTTCAATAAAGAATGCATTATTCAGTGACTGCCAAAAATCATATGAAAAGTCATCATTCAGACCTTGATTGATTTGTATGAATACACTTGATTGTTTGCTTTTGGTTTAAAATGCATACAGAAAAAAAATGAGGAAGTTTGTGTGATATATTAAAGCTGTATCATTTCTTATTGTGATATTCAGATAGAAACTCAAAGTGGCATTCACTCCACATTTTCAAACTAATCTATCCAATTTTACAGCATATAACCTTTGCTTATCTAGGCCTGCTCCATAGGATAGAATATTCTATATTCAATGATTTTGTTTTAAATAGGGGGAGGGGATTAAACCTACCCTACCCTACCCTACCCTACCCTACCCTACCCTACCAAACACCTGCCCCAACCCCTAACAGTAAACATGCTAAATGTGACCATGTCTATCAACACCTCCTGGATGGATTTAGAAGAGAGAAACAAAGTTACAACAAAATTTCCATCTTTTCTAGAGGAAACTATTGATGTATCGAGTGAATTTGTATATCTATGGACTGGGACTTTAAAAGTTGATTAGCTGCTGCTGATTGTATGAAGTCACTGCCATGACTGTATTGTAAATGTAAGTGTAATGCTACTGAATATTACCATAAAGCTTTAGGCCTAAAGGATTTATAAATCTTGTCACAGGATTTGCTTGTATGGTTATATATCTATAGATCTATGTGACAATTTATACAAGTTACATATCTGCACAACCCCAAATTACGAAGATACACCAACAGCATGGTGGCCTGTACTTTAACAGAAGAAGAAGAATATATCATATTTATAAACGTTTTCTTTATCATTTTATGTTTTCTTACCCCTGTTAATTGTTGAACTGTTTTTGCCACACTTTACCTTTTAATTTGCATACCCTCTTCCTGATTATAATCATAATGTGTTGTTTCTTAATCAGATCATGGAGATATCCTAGATCTAGTTAATAATATCCATGTGTGCTACAGGAAATCAAATTGTTAAAATACTGTTATCATGATTCATATAGTATCAACTGAACTGTACCAAATCGGATTGACTTTGTCACGAATAAATGGAAAGGACGTGGAATCGCGCATGCTTACCGATTGGTCCTCCGGGGCCGGAGCCAAGATTTGTCCTCTTCGTAGCCATACCTCCGTCTAATTCTACTTCTAATGGTCTTTTCCTAGAATCACAAGAGTCACCGTTTAGACCGTTAATATCTATGATAGGTTGTCCGACAATTGAATGGATAGATGGAACTAATGAAAGCGAAGCTGACTGTGTTCCTGGGCCCGTCACGAATTCTGCTGTCGCCATCTTTGCGAGGCCCGGCTGTCTGAAAAGATTTCACGATCCACCTTCCCCGACGAAACCCCCGTAACTCGCGATACTAGGCCGTGCAGTCAGGTGAAGAAACTCGAGATGTGGCTGACTAGCTCGTGTAACTTTGGAGGACTGAGAGTGGGTTCCACTTCCAGCCTTGGCTTTGGCCTTTAGCTCTTCACTAAATCGACACAATAAAGGTTGTGTTTACAACGTATTCGTACAATACTATTTCTAAATATGTTCACCCACCAACCAGGAACTACAAATCTGACGAAATGTTCAGTTCCACTAACAACAGCTCTCTGTGCCTGGCTAGTCGCTTATGCGATTACTTGGGGTCCGGTCGATCGCCTCGCCGACACTGCTGAAAAGCCAATGAACTGTGATTGTGTGTACCGAAACGGTATGTGCTAGGTAGCAGATGCTGGGATGAGTCTTGCATGATCCGATTATACTCTATACAAACGAAATGGGTGTTAATTTGTGTTCTGAGATCTCAATTGATCAACAGCCTTCGTATAAAATAATGTATTGTTTTTTTTCCACAAGATTTTGAATTCTCTCTCTCGCCTTCTCTCTCTCCTTCTCTCTTTCTCCTTCTCTCTCTCTCCTTCTCTCTCTCTCTCTCCTTCCCTCTATCTCCTTCTCTCGCTCTCTCTCTGATTGAACAGGAAGAAAAATCAGGGAGGTGTTTTAACTCACATACCCTGATTATATCGAATTATAATATCAGCCCCGGATACACAGGGTGTATTGCGTTAGAAATGAGTTCTTTCTTTGGGCTCAAAAATGCAAAACTTGACTAAAGTGTATGAATAATTTTTTTTATGAGTTCCAAATTTTGAAAGAAGAAATGTCATTTCCGTTTCCTTGCTTCTTAGTGTTCGTTTCATCAGCCTCTCATATAATATTATATTGCTCCTCATTTGCAAAGGTTGAATTTTAAATTTAAAAAACTTGTTTTCGTTTGCCTTACTTATTTTCTCGACAGGATTTCCCCGGGTTTCCTGAATTTGTGCCCATTTTGAAAACCGATTTTCGGTGTTCACAATTCGAAACTCAACCGGTCTATTTCAGTGCCCCTTGCAATTTTGTTATGCGTAAACAAAAATATATACATACTTCAGCCCTGTCTTATATATTTGCGACTTGATATAAATTGCAACTATGTACATAATGAGAAAGGAGACTGCAAACTTGCGATTGGTTTGGATCAATCACAACTCTCTATAAGATGTGGAACTGGTTTATAACTCTGTCACTTTGCTCACTCGTTTGTAAAGTTGTAAAATAATTTTCACTTCAGCGGGGGATGATGAGGGCGCAATTTCATTGTTTGCCCCGGTGCAAATGGACCAAACGTGATTTTTATAAATGCTATTAATTTGCATTTCAGACGGTCTGATCTATTGTTACATATCTGTTGTTTATATATGGATAAGTCCATCCACTTCATAATACTCCCAAGATTTGGTTTGATAGATTTTCAACAACAAAAATGTAAAGGTAATTGTAACATAGAATTTGCGGATGATCAAAACTGTGTGTAATCAACATCATTTACATCAACATCAACATCAGATAGCTCGGATGCAGTGTAGCCACATAGAGGCAGCCATTTGAAAAATAGTTAATAAAAGACGACTTCTGCTCTTATTCGTGAAAAAAAAACCTTTTCTCTCCCCTTCCATACTATTCCCTCTTCCCATTCTATTTACGGTACTGCTTCTAATTGTTATTTGCACGCAGCTTTGTCATCATCTTTGTAGCTAAAGTAAACAAATATGAATCATCGGCAATTGATCCTTGACCAGTTGATTGTTATCGCCGACCAATATCCGAACAACTTCTAACCATTCGTTAATATTTCCACAAGTGGTCGCAAATTAGTTTACAAATAATATACAATGATCGGACAGTGTTCGACCTGATCGGCACTTGCCCTACAAACTATCAGCAACTGGTCGCCCACTAAATTCTTGCAAATTGGTTGTCGATGGTCGCAACTTTTTTTTAGGGGGAGGGATGGGGGGGGGGGGTGTCAGAAGTCGGCAACCGATCGTACGCCTATTATGTGTAACCAAAGAGTTATACATTTTATTATAACTCCTTGGTGTGACTTCAGTAGGCTTAAAGGCTATTATAGAGAGACCATCCACTTTATAACAGTGTTCAATAAGTTCGTTCCGCCCCCTACAGAAAAGCATTTTATTGTGTTTAAAACTTAATTTGCACCATGCATTTCAGGTTATTTTGTTAATTTTCTCATTTCTAAACATTATTGGAGTTGTCACTTCCCAATTTATTAAAATGTGTGTCTCTCCTTGGTGGTCGATCACCTGTGAAACACGCTTGGTCCAGTTATCGTCCACTAATGACGCAAGGAGGTCCTTATTCATGTCTCTGCTCGCCGGATCCCCTCTTTAAGTTGAGTTATTGTTCTGCAGTATTGAGTTTCAATATTTTTTCTTTCATAATAGACCATAGTTTTTCTATGGGGTTCATTTCTGTCAAATTTTCTGGTCAGTTCTCTTTCCTTCTCCAAGCTAATGTTGGTCTTGCTGGGCGCCATCTTTAAATGTATTAGGTATATAGACCTTTAAATTCCTCCTTTTCAATGTTTGACCTCGTATCTCAGCCCAGCAAAAGGTATTTTGGTTGGCAACAGACTGCGCTATTACTAAAGTATAGCAGTTGAGTTGGCAGATAGGGGCGGAACGAACTTTTTGAACACGGTATTATATACCTTTGGAAAAATGTACTTATATAAAATTGACAGTTTGAATAATCAATTTGACTCGGATTGTGTGGCATCAGCTGAGAATTGACTCAATTCAGAGTCAAGGTGGCTCGTTTTCCGTGTCACTTTAACCGCACTTTAACTAGGAATAGAGTTGACTCCCAGCTGACGACATTTAGAGTGAAATTTGACGCCGTGGAAATAAGAGTGTAGGTATACCCATTTGGTTCAGCTCCATTATTTTGAATGATTCAATATAAATTTGATTGATGATATGTTGTTGTCAATACCTCGACTGTGCTAGGGTTTGTCCATGCGCTCGAGTGTCATTATCAATATGCTCCTCTTGCCCGGCTCCAACTTTTGACTTACCAATAGACTAATATTCAAATTTATAGATGTACCACAAAATACTTGGAATTCAGTATGTATTATTTGTTGCTTCGTTGGGCAAGTCTTGGTAAACCTTCAGGTCGTCAAGAAAATCCTTTGTGTAAAAAAGCATGTATGCAATTTAAATATGTTATAGTACCGGTTTATATTATGAAATATCGCTAATTAACAGAGATCCCTCTTTAATTTTCCACGGACAAGATTATCAGATTACCCTTTGATAAAAATACTGGTACCGTGGATATTGATATTCATATTCATATCACGTTTGCTAAAGGTCGGCACCTGATGGTCCAGACTATCGTTTCAGTCTTTGTCTAAGCATGGACCTAATGCAAGTGGTCTGAGCACCACTTGGTGATATCGTTACATTTTTGTCCAAGTTTTTTTTTTTCAATATAAATGTAAGTATCATGATGTAATCATACAGTCATATACATATCCCTGGTATAGTCATAATAAAAAATTAGTTGTCAAATTACTGCCTTCTTACTTTTAATTATGTACGTCTCTCTAATTTTCTTTCCCTGTCATTTGTTCAAGTCTCCCAAGTCCCATGAACCTATTTTTTACAAGCTCTGCTTTTCTATAGGTTCCTGCACATTTCACAGTTTGTGTTTTTCTTGTCTGAGTTTTCATTTAAATGATAATAGTTGTCAAACAAATGTGATGATATGTAACTTTGTATAGTCTGATTTATTTGTAAATTATTATAATCATTTTTTGAATTATGAAACAATATGTCTTTTATGTATATTTTGTTATCTGTATTAGTAGTATTAGTAATAGTAGTAGTAGTAGTAGTAGTAGTAGTAGTAGCTCTATACAGAGCGAATACATTTTTCATTTCTTTTCACATAATGTAAACAATAACAAACAATAATAAACGTAATGATATAACAGAAGTGAGCATTGAAATATCGTTGACAACTTGACATTGTTTTTGGTCATTGTAATGCAAAAAGATTTGGTAACAGGAAATGAAAAAAACGAACCTACTTGAAAGCAATGCTTGTAAGGTGTAGGTTTTGATTTGATTTTTTGATTTGATTTGATTTTCTTCTGCATTCATGTAAGCATACAGTTTTTCGATAACAATAATAATATAAAGTACAATAAGTATTTTTCTGACAATGAATCATAAATAAGCAAATACATATATATATATATAAATTGTTATTTTAAAAAACGAAATGATAAATTGTCATAAATACTAAATTTCCTCAAACATTATAAAACATTATAAATTATTTGCGGAAGAAGGACTGTCATTGTAAGCAGATTGCTTGATAATACGACAGCCCCAGACAAAACTCATGAAATATATTAACGCATTTATTAAGCAGAAACGGATAGGTAATTGAAAATACAAATTTCGTTGATGGTGATGCAGATGAGGATGAGGATGATGAAGATGATGATGAAGATGATGATGATGATGATGAAGATGATGATGATGATGATGATGATGATGATGATGATAATGATGATGATGATGATGATGATGATGAGGTTCGCACATTAATAATTGAACTTTATACATTTATAACTTAATTTTGAAGAAAAAAATTACGGAATAAAAAAAAACACGACAGACAAAAAATTAAACAAAACAAAAACACATCAGAAACAGTAGCAGAATTACAAGATGAGGATGATATTGTATCTGTATGTGGAATGTGAAATCAATAAACTCAACCACAGAGGCCCCGTGGTGACTTTTACAATACACATGTCATTGTGTTTCTCGTTTCTCCGCTGAAGGTGAGCCATGATTTAAAAGTACAAAAAGTGTGTTTATGTGGGCTTACATTTTAATTAATCCGCCAAAAAAGGGAAGCATTCCGGGATATGCTTTTGTACATGCCCTTCTTTTCATTTCAAAACGATTGGTTTAAGATCATGAATTCAATAATTCATGGTTTATTTGGTTGACACACAAGTGAGAGTCAAGTTGTGCCTTTTATTTTGTTCTGGTATAGGAATGTGTTATGTTTTTCAGGATTTCTTCACCAACTCATTTTTTCCAGACTTGAAAAAAAAAAATTGTTTATTCTTTAGTCATCAATGCACGTTAAACGATTTTGACGGAGTCACTAAATGATCTTTATTGAAAAACAACCGTGTGATAAATTTGAAGTAACTAATCCTTTTTAAGATTGAGATCTGTAACAGCAGTGATAAATGGGTATATTTTGTGCAAACAGTTTTTTTAAATCTCTCTACTGACTCGCACACTGTGACAACAGTGACATCATCATTTTCAGGTGACATGCATGATTTTCTTTAAAAATAAAAATAATTGTTTGTCAATACCGCCTGTCATCAGAACAGCATTTTTGAACTGCCTATAATTACATGCCTATAACAATTATTACATAATTACATCTACTATTATTTACAATAAACCTATGGAGAATACATTATGAATAATCAAAAATAGATGTAAAAATGACTATCTTATAATTTTATAATTTTTCATGAAATTACAAATCAGATTTGACGTTTTATGATGAATCTACATGCAAGCATATTTATTTAGCATGCTCGGTATAGACAATTCGACGATAGCACTACCGTATTGTCATCTTTCGGAACTAGCAGCGCATCTTTGTGTTCGTCACTTTCGGTAAGATCAGATGTTATGAATAATTCATGATTCTCGGAAAATCAACAATGAACTGAACCAAGTTCTCCTTTTCTATCTCTTTGTCGATTTGTAAGTTAGAAATAAAAATAAGAAATATAATCCTAAAATGTTGATTTTGAAAACTTTCACCCAGCTATAATGTCCTCTAGATCTATAATGTGAAAGATTATTTAAATTTGGTCTAAAATAAATCACATGACCCTTTTGGTTCTCATTATACAGTACATGTACCTTTAAATCACGTGATACAAACAAATACCGATTTGCATGTTTCAAACTTAGTGGATCGGATGTGCCCGGTTGAGGATAACTTCAAAACAAACTCTGTAAGTAAACTGAAGCCCTATAATCTATAATCACAGATTGAATTAATTATTTTGTTGTGTATGATATAGTAGATACATCATATGAAATCCAAGTAAATAACCGTTGATTTCGTGAAGCAAAGTCGACGGTTCGCCAGTTGGCAAAGATGATTTGCGAATGCGGCGCTCGCGCTCTGCGTCTAGCTGCCTCTGTCTCACCGGTCTAGACTCGCGTCAGTCACGCCCGTGGGCTAGCTCTCGAGACGGGATCGGGAGAGGTCCGTAGTTCCTTTCCTGGCTTTTGGGCTTAGCTATGAGCCGTCGTGTGTGTCTGTGGGGGCAACGATGGTTTACTGTCTAGTTTCATAAGTTTGACAGTGATGCAATATTTTCTAAACTGTTAAATAGACTCTAGACTAATTAATTATCAATATCAAGAATTATAATAACGGATGAGCAACTTTGATGTGACAAAGAGCTAGAGAAAGCTAGTTTAAAATTCAAACTTTGTGCAAGTGTGTGATGGGGCATTTAGCGCATAACGTCCATCTGATCTCAGCGAATTGCAGCCTCATTTTCCTAAATTGGCGCTGACAAGGGCCCTTCTTAGGCTATCGCCGGCTAGCACTGACATTCGCTCAATGTTGTAAGATATTATTGGTGCGAGGAGAAAGCTTGCGATTTTCAGTTTGATCCAAATTAATCATGATGCTGTCAAACCCTCTAGGTCTAATTTCTGTTTGTTACAATTTTTTCAGTTCTCTTAAGTTTAAGTCTTAGATCTACGTAACTTTTTTTTAGGTTTGAAAAATTCTCATTTCGTCATATAAGATTCTAAGGGATAAACTGGAAATTTATTCTGAAATGTTCGTTGATTTTTCTATTTTATGTGTGTGCAATGCCATGTGTGCGTCAGTTATGTGTGAAGTGCGTTACCTATCTAAAGCATGACATGTCTCGGAGTGTTATGTAATATTACGTATTGACATTGCCATTGAACTTAAGTTGCGCTTAGGTTAAGTAGGCCCTCTCTCACTTAAAATTCGTAGCCACGTACTCGAGGGGATCGGCCAATGGGAGCACCTAGCTAAACTCACTGTACAACGCTCAATGCGCGAAGTTCTACATGTTGGGGCGGGTATGTGTGTCTGGATACTTGACAAAAATAAAGCATTCACTATTTAATTTACTTCAAATGTAATCATGAATTATGCCTCAAATAACACTAACCATATTCATAACTATCTGACTAACCGACAGCACCATTCATATTGGAATAATTGGATCCCTTAAGTCTTGACACTTTAAAATACAAAACATTAAAATATATCAAACAAAGATCTCCCCCGTGTCTCCACATGGAATGACAAGTCTGTCGACACGTACCTAAGAAGTCCAGATATTAATCAACCTGTCGGAGTGTCGGGTAATGACATGGGTTGACTACGGATTAGCTTAATTGTTGCTTGTCATTGTACCAACTTCAAATGTATACTTGATTTCAAAAGTATTTCAATGCAAATATCAATTCTTTTGGTATCTGTGGAATCTTATGCTGCAGAATTACAAGGGAAGCAAAGGGACATACGGTAATTAACTATGATTGTTTGCTATTAAACACAGGTTTGGGCAGAACCTTATCAATTATACAAAGGAGGATGGGATTCCGGCGGAGTGAGTACGATCGGCAATACAGAGAGCCAGGCTGGGATACATACCAGGACTACTACAAACAACAGGTCTTGTACAGGGCTTACCGCAGACGGCTGGAAAGCCACCACAACTTTGTAGAGTGGGACTGGGAGACAGAGAGCGAATCAGGAGGAGTTAGAGGTGACAGAGCGGCCGATAGACCAGAGCAGGTTCAAGCTGCAGGCACAAACCTAGAGGACCATTGGACCAGGCCTGTGAATGAAGGGGAAGCTATTGCTGCTAGGGGACTATCAGACAGGGAAGTGCAGACACCGGATTGGGGTGATGAGAAGACCAAGAAGAGGAGGAGAAGTGAATCCGCTAGAGGTAATCACATTCACAATACAGTAAATGGTAGTGCAATAGAAATGAAGATAATATTATACATGACATATTGCAGAAGTGTGTTGCATTAAAAAAACGAGAAGTCAAAAAGAACATTAGAAACTCAAACCTGAACTAAATGAATACATCGATAAATATACATGTTTTCAAAGAGAGATTTCAAACCACAGCATGAAAGAAGTAATGTAAAGTTGTAAACCAAACTTAACCAACCAAAACTGGGTGTTGTGGCGTGCGCCTGTAATCCAGCTAAAAGTGGAAGTTACAAAATGATTCAGCCGAGGACGCAAGTTCGAAGCTGAATCACGTCTTTTGGATGGTGACGTTTCAAGGTCGGTCCCCAGACGCAGGTTCGAAGCTGAATCACGTCTTTCGGATGGTGACGTTTAAAGGTCGGTCCCCAGACGTAAATAATGATATCTGATTGATACACGTCTGTAAAAACCCAATACACACATACACACACAAATATAATCTATATAGATACCTCCTGAATTGATAATAAACTCTTTATCAGAATGCTGTACTTGTACGTTTACCGAGCAAAAGTATGCAAGCTCTTTCTTTTTGCGTCATTCATCCTATTTTTTTTTTTTTTTTTTTACATCCAGGCCTCTCAAAAGGAGAAAGAAAGGTACCTGAGACTACACCCAGAGCCAAGACAAGTCTAGAGAGAGTCAGGGGAGGAGGAGGAGCAGAAGGGATTAGACCACCCTTACTTGCCTTTGGCTGGGCTGATAGGGAGAAGGACGTAGGATGTAAGCAGACGTTTAATGTGAGAGCATCAGCACATGGAGATGTAAGTTGAACTACGAATTGCCTGCTGAAATAATATTCACATATGCTACCAACTAAACTATACAAGCGTACTCCTTGAATGTTGTGATCACCAAAGTTGGTAGCCTAGCTAGAGCTGGGGCAATAATTGGAGCGCCTTGAATGCTTTCAGCACCTTCACATCAGCTTGGCAAATGCCAGAGTAAAATTACCGAGCACCTCTGAGTAGATTAGCTTTGTTCATGGGCAGGTCCAAGCTATTTGGATTGTGACGTACGGGACATTTCGAGACTTTAAACAAGAAATAACAACAGATGAAATTATTTATATGGCTATCTTTTGGTATGAGTCTGTGGCTATTATGGGCTAGTTCATTTGTGGAAAGTTTTAGTTCTGACCAATTTTTTAATTAATTTTTAATGTAATTAATGTGCTGCGTGACGTACGGACCACAGCGTCCCGTACGTCACGCAGCACATTAATTACATTAAAAATTAATTAAAAAATTGGTCAGAACTAAAACTTTCCACGAATGAACTAGCCCATAATAGCCACAGACTCATACCAAAAGATAGCCATATAAATAATTTCATCTGTTGTTATTTCTTGTTTAAAGTCTCGAAATGTCCCGTACGTCACAATCCAAATAGCTTGGACCTGCCCTCAAATAGACAGTACTATTCAAATGCTTTTAAGGTATTTGAGATTAAAACATATTTGACAGTTAGACATGTATGAGTCCATGCATGAGTTTTATAGTGCACCCTTACAAATTTATGGTTATGACCAGTTGTTAACAACTATATGAACAATCATAGATTTTGTATTTTACATTGGTTTTTCACAGAGCCCCCACCCCTTTACCTCCATTATATGAATGAACATTCACCTTCTATTTGTTCAAAATATATCTAATAAAAAATATGAATTTTCATCGTCTGAACTTTATCACTTATTCAATTGATGTCTATAGAACACCCAGGTTTTCCCAGCGGCTCTTCGTGCGATGAGGAGAAATCAGTATGCCATCGAGTATCGTGAGGAGCAGAAGAGACGAGAGAATCTGAAGACGAGACGGCTGCGTGCTGCGTTCAACGTTCCGCCTCCCGACGATACACTATGGATGACAGAATACCAGAGAAACTATACTGGCCAGTCTCAAACAACAAGGAGATCAGCCAGGAGATGATCTTATGGGATTAGTTAATCTTGAAAGATACAAAGTTTTACAGAGTAAAACTAACAGGTTTAGTTAAAAAAATACAATTATGGCAAGATTAATTTAACGCAAGTTATCTGGAGGAAATTCTCAAGGTAAATCTACATGAACCTGTAATATCATCAGGCAAATTATAGCATTTGCATATGATCAGTTATGTTGTATAACTTGAAAGAGTTTTTAACTTGTATACATTGGAGATAAAAGCAGCTTCAATGCAGCAGTATAAAAATGTGATGATCTACAAGGAAATATTTAGCCATGCTTCAGCAATTCAGATGGCGTCTTGTGTATGGTGAGACTCAACTCAAGTTGTTATAGTCCTGTAAATTATGATTACAAGAAAATTGACAAGCCACTTTGCACAAAGCTAAATCCTTCACAATATTCATTCTTTTGTGAGGGAATGATGAACAATAATGTTGGGGTTTTGAGACATTTATAAATCTCTTAATTTTTCAATCATGCAAACTGAAACAGCACCTAAATGTATGTGATTATATTTGTTCAACCCAGTTTTCATGAACAAAAATAAGAAATGGAAGATCTGATAAACTGTTGGTTGTAATAATGCACAAATAAGCAATCTTGTTGTCAGGACACAGTCAATCTACAAAATAATAAAGTTTCCTAAAACTTGTGGGTCATGAAGCGTTTTTATAAACAGGTCAGTCTTGTTGATTGCAGGAGTTTATGATTGCCATGGATATGTTAGGTTTCTCTTCCTCTCTGTAACAATAATTGTGCATACAAGTAAGTGCATGCAAAGTGTCTTCTGCTGTTTCTATATTGCAGCTTCTCTTTCAAAAATTGTTCACTATGTAGAATGGTAAGATAAATATGCCTTATCAATCGCAGCTGTATCATAGCTTCATATTATAGCAAAGTATATATTTTATCAAAGTTGAAATTTGTTATTGAAATAAATGTAATGTTGGTATATATACATTGTGTATGTATCATTGTACAGATAAACATAGTGCCTGATATTAGAAACTAATCACATGCACCTAGGCTTAAACCCTGTATGTTCCACTCTGCACTGATGGACAGGTAGTATGCATTAAAGGGATGTTCAAAGCACTATCTTGCCTGTATGATTGTTATTTAATTTCTTTCATTGTTTATAATGACCAAGATGACTAGGATGTTGATGAATGGTCGTTAAGAGAGTCATTTTGCCAGGAAAACAAGTTTTTGAAACAGTAAGAGGAATGAAATTAGAATGGTAGAGTTTACGTATAACTTATAGAAGTGTTTTGTAAACCGTTTAAAAAAAAGGCTAACCAAAATGATGAACAGCCAGTTTTAAAAAGAACGAACATTCGGGTTCATACTGTCGGGTTTCAAAATATTTGTTTATGTGGATAAAATTGTACACTTTTAAATTGAAAATTGATTGAATACGATTACTGCACTTTAAAAAAAAATATGGAGAATAACCCTATTCACTCTAGTTGTGATACAGAAAACCTGCTGTAGCAACCACCTGTCTGTAAAGACCACATTTTAAGATTCCTTAGAGCAGTGTTCCCAAACCTGTATATAAAGATCACCTGCCTCTATAGAGCATTTTTTCTTGTCTCCCGTGAGTGGTCTTTATGTTTAGGTTTCACTCTTATTTATTATTTGTTAGATGTCACAATTTGCATAGAACAAACGTGAGAGCATTAAAACATGCATCTACGTGTACATTGACTTATTACATCTCAAAAAACTTGAGGCCTGGCAATTCAAATTTTGTAGGGATGTTACATTGAACAAAATACAAATACTGGTATGGTATATTTATTCACTTTGCTAGGGAGATTTTAATTAAAACGGGGAGAATAAATGGTATTGTTGACTTCATTGCTGAATTATCATTCTGTTGAAGATATTCCTTTTTGCGATCTCTATGATACTTGATAACATACCGGTATTTCTAGCCATGGGCGATGAAGGTGTTAAAGAAATAGTAATTTTTGTTGAATGATCTTTGGTCAACAGTGTACAATATTATGAATTACAACTCCTTTGGATTACTGCTGCACATGTATTTATTCATTTGTTATAATTTTTTCAGAAGGGTAATGTCCCATCAGTGTGTATAAAACAGGAGCTTAGATTAAAAATTTCCAGAGATTAAAATTTAGATGTAGATGATTGGCAAAAATACTCTACTAGAATCAAGTATTTATTAGGAATGGAATCCTGACAAAATAAACAAGATTAATCGGACTAGGAGTTAGGTGCTAGTAAAATGTGCAGGAAATGGGTTTCAAGAAATAAATGGTCTTGTAACAAGCATGGGAATACAGTACTTGGGGGGAAATAATGAAACTGGAAAGAAAAATGTATGCGATATATACATATATATATATATATATATGTATGTCGAAAGTGCTACGATATACATGTAATGTTATGTACTACAGGAATGAAATTGTAATTAAAGAGCAGCATCCAAGGCTGGAAACGGTAAACAATTAGAATATTTTTTTATAACGTTTTGGTATTTCTGACAGATCAAGACAGGGAAAAAGAGAGAAAGAGAGCAAGAGAGTAAAGTTACACAAAAGACAATGCACACAGTAATTCATCATTATAATAACATTTATTTTATATGACAAATATGTTCATTTCATTGATACTTTCTTCTCTGGTACTATTACATAGCAAAGTGTCTTCTACTCAGCTTTTCATTCAACAATCACACCAACATTTTTATAACATGGTAATTCTGCACAGTAACAAAGATAATGGAAAGTAGATTAAAACTATCAAAAGATATATATATTTCACAAGAAAACAAAGTCTCCATTATAAGTTTTGAATGCAAACTAGACAATGAAAACACATATGTTTACGACATCTACAAGAAGGAAAATACAATTTTTTCAAAGAATGAAACAGTGATACATGTATATATTTGCGACAGAATTTACAATACGGTAAGCAACCATGAGCAAGGAATTATTTACACACATTTGCTTTCTTTGTTACAAAATTAAAACTATAGACATATACTATCTTCCTCATCACATGAATCTAGTTATCTTTTTTGGTTATAAATAATTTCTCCAGGCAAAATGAAGCTGCATTTATGTATTTCATAAATTACCCATGCACAAATGATTATGAATGTGTTTATGTGCAGTTAAGTCTTTCCTTAGTTCACATACAAATTAACCATTGGGTGAAAAAAATTAATTATTTCTTTAGCATAAACTGTTTATAAGCTGATTTTTTGTTTTTTATTTTCCAGTATATTACCTAAGCAAATTTTCACCAGTGTATTTTTTTCTAGATATTGACATAATCCTCAAAATATTAAACATTCAAAAAAATGTCATAAAAAGAACTTTATATTCATAAATATTACACAGATTTGATCCTACCTTGCTACAAACATAGTACCAATTTACCACCCTATTTCAAGTATGACACAAACAGTAGAGACTCAAATCATACTTCCCATATTCTTAGCAGCTTGGCTATCATTCAGGTATTTGACACACATTTTCTGCTCTCGGTTTCTGAGTTCAAAGTATAGTTGAACATGAAAAAATATGGTTAAATATTCCACATGCATACAAAATCTAAATCCGTTAAAACAATTACAGAAAAAATACAACAGCCAATAATAATCAAACCTAAATCTACCTGAATAGAAGTTGCCTTTTATCGGGTTAGTTCGGTATTCATACAAATTAGCAATGATAGTGATAATTAAGTATGTCTGTTGTTATTATTTATTTTAATTGTAGAAAGGGTACTGTACTTCTCATAAATTAAATGATTTGTTTTGTCCTCAGCTTTTCCATGTGCATAAACAGTTATCTATATGAAAACTTTATTCAATAAACATATAAGAGGAACGGTTCAACTTAATCACAAATATATCAACCCTTTTATCAAAAGAAAGATACAGAGAAAGAATATTGTAATTGAACTATACGGCAAAGATGTATATAGAGTAATAATATTGGCTAATTTTTACTACCGGTAGATAAATATACTGATATCTTGTACTGCACATTAAAGCAGCCATAAGGGCACAAAATCATAACTTACAGCTAATGGTTATATGATCTCTTTGCTAATATCACAATTAAAGATATGCTTGTTATAAAACATGCATATAAATCTACATTATCTTAACCTACATCTATATATACAATAATTATAAATTAATCCATTATCTGCAAATTTTACGATAAAAGAAACATTTTATAACTTTCCTTTGATAAAGCCTCTATTTGGATTCAAAGAGATATTTGGTACGACAATGAATCAAAGAAATGTATAGGATTGTGGAATACCAGGAATACACATAGCATTTGTTATCTACAGATCTCATAAAGATAAAACAATTATTGTTTCATTAAAATGACACATGAATGACTGCCAAGTGTTGGCAATGGCTGTGCTCGAAATGATTAGAAAAAAGTCTTTCCTAGTTAAAGTCGTGCAGAAAAAATTTAAATCATCATAATCTGTGGAAAGATCTAACAACATTACTAGCCTTTGGCAGGTCTAAATTAGCTTAGACCCAGGACAGTCCACACACAAAAATTGAAACATATAAAATTCAAACTTGAAAGGAGTATGAACCAATGTGCGTGACAGGTGAAGTGAGGGGTGAAGTCCCTTGTGGCAAGGGTCCATATCTTGCATAAGGACTGTGTGCAATCTGTGCCATATTTTGAAGCATTTTCAAACAAACTTTATGACTAAACATTTAAGAAATAATTGTGGGTGAAAAAGAAATTATCCTATCACTGTTATATGCTAAAACTCTTTGTAGACCCCAGAGACCATCACTGTCTGACATTTCATTTTTTGTTGTTTGTTACCCCAAAATTACTTTAAGTATCTTGAGAGCATTAGATTATGTTTATTGTAATAAATTAAAGTTAAGAAACTAAAAAGTGTAGTGTAATACATGTAATGTGAAATTTTCACAGTACCAGTACTTTTCTTAAACATTTATTTACAGGCAAGATATATTGTGTATCACAAGAGTAACAAGACTATGGTATGCATGACCAAAAAAGAAATAAAGAATTGTGAAAGGATATATAAAACGTTACATTCACCAAAGATGTAACACAAAGTATGAAAGAAGAAATCAATCATTCTCTAGCCATGTAAGGAATGAAGGTGCCAGAAAATTCTTGCACATGACGTGTACTTCAGAAGAAAGCTGATGAATTTGAGATTAATTAATCAATTCATAACGATAACATGTTTATCCATTACTGACGTTCAGCTGAAGGATATTTGATGGTACATAATAACTGAGTGAAAAGGGTATTGAATCTTACATTTAAACATCCTTACATGATATAAGCTCAGAATCCAATTGCAAAATGCTTGCTTCACATTTAAGGAATACATTAAAACCCAGGTAATGCTTTGTAGTACCAGCGTGCAAAAACTTCAACAGTTATTTCTGATAGAGTAAAATAGCATGTTTTTCATGGTTTGTTAACAAGTATGTAAATAAGATATTCCATTCATCATACACTTTAACATGAGTCTTACACTGTATGTACTGTCAAGCAGATACTTTTGTGATATTTTTTCAGCAGACCGTGATAGAAAATAATGAAGGGGTGCATAGTATTGAACTACACATATTCCTAGATCATAGCATTGATCTTTGCTCTACAGGAAGGTATGAAGGAATCTACTACACCCTCATCATCATATTGCTGTTCTTTACTAAGACAGCCATTACCATATCACCATATAGAGACTTGTTTCAATCACCCACTTCACCTGGTGTAAGCTCCTAATATATATATATATATATACACTAGTTAGTTATTGCAAGTAAATTGTAAATCAAAGTTCAGACTGACATGCGTGGTAGCCTCCTGGCACAAACTAGCAGCTTGTGTGTGTACTATTCAACTGCACATTAGCAGTCTCTATATCACAAGTTTTCTAGTATATGCCTGGTTTACCAGCACTTCAACAGAAAATAAATTCTGAGTAGATTCCTTCTCATTTTCTTGAAAAAAGTTGGAGGATATTTCCATCAACTTACAAATTTGTGCAATAAGACTTTCTTATGAATAAAATACATTTTTCAAGTTAGCAAGCAGTCATTGAACATACATATGACTGTAATAGTGAGATTGTTTGAATGGAATATTAAAGCAATCATAAATATTCATAATCTTGATGTCTGTCGTGAAGGTGTGTGCACTATATGAAACGTTACATCTGAACCTACAAACTTCACCAGGAAGGGACGTTAAAAGGTATGGACCGGCATCATAGAGGTTTCACAATTGGCATGGTTTATAGGGCTTGGGTGTTGGACGTGTTGGCTGGCTGGAGCTATTATTGATGATCATAGGTTGTCAAGATGGTTTCCTCAGCATGGGCACTGTTGGGTACTCCTGACAGGCGGTCTGGTGACTTTCCGGAGAGTGGAATCACCGTACTGGATTCCTGATCCCATCCTCTCTGGATCTAACTCACCTAAACACACAAGCCACAAACATGGTATACATTCTTTAATGGTTGAAAGCAGTCTAAAGAATACAGGGGCTGTGAGGGTGATCCCACATTTGCTTTTTTGTGTGTCCAAAAGTACAGGGTTAGGGTTAGGGTTACAATTGGATTTAAGATTAGGTATACAGGGTAAATGTAAGGTTTTTCTTTGTTTTTTATGTCCAGGCAGGATTGAACATATGAATTTGATATGATAAATGTAAGAAACTGACTGTGAAGCAGTTGTCGCAGGAGCATGTGTTACACAACAACTCTGACAGATATCTAAATCTGGAGAGCTTTCAAAAGTACTTCTGAAAAACTGCTATGGGGGTCAAATGAAAATGTCTAGAATTCCAGTCGATATGTATGTGTCAATCTTGTACACAGATATAAGAAGGCTAACTATATTTTCTTTTTATTCAAATAGGCCACATTGCTTGAATGAGCATTCCAAAAGAACCAAATACATTTGAGAAGATTTGAATGTTTGCAACCAGTAATCATCTCCTACATCCAATCTCAAACTCTTAACATGGACACGAAAAGGCCTATCCCTAATATAAGGAATGACATAGAACAATATGTTTCTCATAACTCATTCTTACCTAATTCTATTTTGTTGAGTATCGATCTGGCACATTTCAAGAAAGCCTCTTCTACGTTCTCTCCTGTCAACGCACTTGTTTCTAGGAACATCATTTCTGAAAGACACAACATAAATCAATAAGTTATTACAAAGTGGTGATTCCAATCACCAATATAACAAAAGAAGCTCCTTGAACACATTTTTAGAATTATTACTTCAAACTCATTGAATTGCAACTGCGTGAAACAAAGGTCCTACCCCTATTATTAACTGAGGTCTGTGTTAAAATAAACAGAAATATGAAGCTATGATACTTACATTATTAAAAAGAAAAAGAAAACAATTCAATTCAATTCAATTTTATTTCGCAATATAAAAATCAAAATATACAAAGTAACAGTAAATTTTAACTATGTTTACAAAGGTTATATGCGGGGCTTTCCATGAAGGTTGCGAAAACCTGTGAAGTTGGATCGCCCATTAAAGAATGAAAAACAATACAAAAAGAAATATAACATATTATAAGCCCACAAAAATAACTGTATATTAAAGCCCCACTGCACTACTTATAGCTACTTGCGCCCTCTATATAGCAAACAATGCCGAGCTGATTTGATGAGATAACCACCTGTCACTGACCTTGCAGGGAGGTCTAATCCCCTGGCCAAACTAGTACAGACAGGCTTTAACATGTCATATCCAATTTACCAAAATATTTGATCTTTTTTTTAATCACAGAAGTCTTTCTTACCATTCTCTTGTGCAAATCTACTGGCCTCTAGGAAGGTAACCTCTCTATCTGCATCCAGATCCTTCTTGTTACCACAGAGGATGATGACGATGTTTGGACTAGCCAACGTCCTTGCATCTGTTAGCCATTTCGTCAGAGCATTATATGTCTCTCGACTGGGTAGCAAGGAGAAAAGAATTAGAATGAAATTCTGAAAGTACATGATAAATACGACTGCTTGAATACAAAACAGTATCAAGTAACCTAATTTCAAGTCTCTCTTGCACAGCTTCCTAGCATTCCTACTGTCTTACTAGGAACCTTGAATACTAATGAAAAATAAGTATGATATACCAAACTGGCAACCTGGATAAAATCTATTACAGGCACCATTGATTTGGGATGGCCAATGATTGAGAACAGACCAAGCATAAATATTTTCATTTTTTTGTTGACAACTCCTCTTTATATTTCTTCCTTTTTTAAACTTGGGAATAACAATTTAACCTCTGTGTTTGTCCATTGAAAAAGCATATTAGTTAATTCTAGGGAAGGCCTTCCCCTGACATAGAAAATCATAGGCTTCTGCTCATTCCATCTTGCTACAAACTACAAAATTAATCCTTTTTCTACTGCCTTTTATTCTTGCACTTCATTTTTTTCCTTCTTTATTCTTTATTACTTTTATTCACCCCTTTGCATGCTCCTACTTAACAAGAGACATACATGTTTACATGGTATATACAGTAGCTGATGATCTAGGATGACATTACAAAATCTGGGGCTGTATTCTGGATATCTCTGTTAGTTAGAGGTTGGTTGATTATTGTCATAACAAACTGAAAATGTGCAGAATTAACACTTATTATTGGTTGCACATATGTCTATATGAACTATATGAATCTTTGCCCATTGACTTGTATGTGCACAAAAGAACTACCGGTAATGGTTTGTCCCATTATATTGATTTTTATGACAAGCAAAATATACCTACAAAGTGGTAGGATTTCAGAATATAGCCCAAGAAGAAATAATACAATTTAAATTCCCCTATTTCCTACATTCACACTTTGTTTGAATATATTAAGATAAGAATAATCTATTCATACGTGATATATACGTCGACCCCAAATTCTAAATGAATGTAACCTAAACTCTGTGGATTATAGGGTATTAGTACTGCAGGCTCAAATTCATCAAATTACTCAAACATACATGTAGCTTGCTAATTTGCCAAAAATCATGTTATCAATATGCCTATATCTCACTCAATTTGTTGAGAGGATAGTCTTTTCACCAATTTCAATCTAACATGTACTGTAAATGGTACACGTACTTGCCTTGATTCTATTCTACTCCTTAAAATCTCATGCAGAAGGGAGGGGGGGGGGGTACTGATAAGTTTGAAACTCACTTTCTGTTAATACTAACCTTGTGATGTCATAGACAAGTAATGCCCCAGCTGCACCTCTGTAGTAACTCCTTGTTACTGACCTAATATGAACGAAAGAAAGAAAGTGATAATCCTTAATTTCTATTGTTTTCATTTTTATTTCATTACCATTTTAATAATTTTAATCATCAGATTGGCAATTAGCCATAACAGGCAAATTCATTGAACATTTGGTTAAGCAAATACAATGATTAAGCCAGCGTTTAATGTTTTCAGCTACCGGTAATAACAAAACTCACAATTCTCAGTAGCTTTGAATAATTACCCACCGGTATTCTGCAATAAACTACCATATCAATGATAGGTGGGCAATATTCTATATCCATATCACTCTAGTTCACGTAGATCAGCATTTGATTCATTTTAATTTCTGTTAATAATCCTCAGGAAATATCAAAATATCAATAAAACAATTACTTGAAATTCTTTTTGTTTTGTTTTACTGCGACAGGCTAAAACCATGAATCTTCTTACAAGAGTAAGTACCCCATTAAAGGTAATACAAAGTTTTGGTATGGGGTCATGAATTTGGTTTAAATGAACATATTGGAAGCATATGCGATCCTACAATATTCAGTGATCGTTGTTGCGGTTATAATCGAGTTTACAGTGATGAAATTGTAAATAATAAAGTCTTTATGTTGTATATCTCCTTCTCCAGGTCAAGATATCAAGAAGCTTTAAAACAATGTTTCTTGACTAAAATCGACCAATTTGCTATTCCCGTTTGGAAATCATATATCACAACTGCATGTTCTGAGAATTTCACGGTCGCAGCTACCATTGGATGGCCGTATAAGCTATTTGAAATTTTTCAAAATTTACCAGGAGCACCGGTAAATTTTTATATTCAATTTTTTCAAAAGCAGAAGTGTTTTAGGGGCTAATTTTACTAGTGCTTATACTACATTCTCAGGGGCATCCAAATGTATCAAAATTGTAAAGAATCGCTATCCGGCCCTTTTCAAAATTTCCCAAGACTTTGTATTACCTTTAATGTTATCACTGCATTTCATGACTTTCAATAATGATTCTAATACCAAACATTATTGTTGGTATAGCCACAAACATCTTTCTTCTCACTGGATAATTATTGTTCGTACCTAAACCTTTCTTGACCTGCTGTGTCCCAGATTTGTAACTTGACTGATTTTCCTCCAGCATTGATGATCTTTGAGCCAAACTCAACACCTATTGTGTGATTTGAGTCTTGTTTGACTGAAATGGAAAAATAAATATACATTGAGAATTCTAACATATATGACAGTGTATGGAGATTGGATAATGCCAATTCTACATGTACATATATATTTCAGTCTTTTAAATGTACCAATTATGTGCAAAATAATCATAGAACTCATCACCACTTTTGATGATGCTTTGTAATTGATAAACAAATTGGTGTAAGAGGACATGAAAAGCAAGATTATATGGGTAGGAATTTTGCTTTGGATATGAAATTGTTATGATTGACTGTAGAGTTATTTGGACCACAATATATTACACTTCTTATTATTCTTATTGCATAGAACATAGATTTTCCCTGCATCATTTCATTTTTCTGAAAAACTTTTAGGGATGTTATTCTTAGATTGTCATGTCCAGTAAATCAGGGAACAGATAAATTGCTTTTACAACCAAGTCAAAATGTCTAATAGCACAATCAAACTTATTTACTCACATAATGTAAATAATAGCTTTAAGCTATTAACATTAAACCACAAAATTATTATCATAGCGAAAGAATAAAATAAAAAATTGTTAACTTACATTTGCTTTCGATGAATTGATGAAGAATACATGACTTTCCTGTTCCTGCGCTCCCAATGACCAGGAATTTGAACAAAAAATCTGAGGAATGAAGAATTATAATGATGAAAACAAAAAGATCTAGTCAGAGAAAAGCTAACTGAACTGTCTGACAAGACAGCCTTTCTGGCTTCCATCTTGTATCAAAATAAGTTTCTGTTCATCAATCAACTATAGTCTGAATTAATTGTAACAATTCCTAAACTTGTTATTCAACTATCACACAAAAATCAGTGTACAATAGACAATTTGTGTTTGATTGATCACACCTTCAAATATTCCTAACTTTCTTATTTTTAATTGAATTTTGGTCAAACTTTCAGTTACCGCTTTCTCTCATTTTTATGCTCCTATTAAACCCAAATTAATATCAGGGTGGATTTCCCCTTTAAAATATCACAAAGGCCACATCAGTTTGATAGATTTTCTTGCCGGACACCTGAATAGCAGGCGATTAGATATGGGTATGCCATTTGCTGTACACTCTGAGCTTATAAAAACATGAACCAAACAAAACTTGCATATATATTGTTGTAGCTTTCAGGATACTGGTATTAAAGATCTTATGAATTTATTGTACAAAAATATGACTTACCAACCTTAAAAATGAAGAAGGAAAGGCAAAATCTTTGAAGCTTTGCAAAAATTCAAGACTGACAGAAATCGCCAATTAAGCTAAAGTCAGTATAGTGCTTGCTGGAAGCAACATTATTATGGTATTGTCAAGACGATGGCAGACGGCTAACGTAAACATTTATTATAATATCAAGCTCTTTTGGCGATACCATAGTACCCGATGGGTAATGACGGGCTGCTAACACATTTTCATATACTTCTCTTTTGTTCTCTCGACAATGCCATAGTGCCATAGTGCCATCGCTTTTGGCTAGTGCTAAAACCTGATTGACAATTCCTGTCATTCGTATATTTTGCACCATCCATCCCATGTTGTATATCGTTGATTCAACATGGCGAAGAAAAAGTACATGCGCGGTATGTACTGTCAGCATGCATACTTTCTCTTCACCATGTTGAATCGAGGATAAACAACATGGGATGCGGATGCGATGAATTGGGTTAGGATGAGGAATTACCCTTTTACCCATCAAATTCAAAGACTTCTTCAAATTATAATTTCAAGTGGTTGAACTCACTCCAGCAAAGCTTAGAGAGTCAATGCCAATGCGTATTGACCTCTAGCACTGCATACATGCTGTGAGGCAGGGACCTAGAAGTCTATACACAAATACACACACCACACAATATCGCATAGACTGTACACAATCATGTCGATGCAGCTGTAAGCAAAGTTTGATACTAGACTTACAATTTGAATTTTTAAATTATTCTTTTTAACATCATTAAGTTGAAAAAAATGTATTTTACTGCTATTTAGGTGTCATCAATTGTCACTAAAGTACCGATTTTTAGTGAAATCAGTTGAGTTTTGTACAGTGATGTTTGAAATGTTGAGAATCAAAAGCACAGCTTTTACTACACAGCCAGGATAGTAATGCTCCTATGTGTGGTTGAACTGGTGCCCAGAGGAGTCAAAAAACAATGTAAGTCAAAATTGTAATTAGGCCTACTACTTCTTTACATTCCGCGAAAATGTGACCCAACCCGCTGTCTGAATCGTTTTCCTGTGCAGGCTCTGTAGATTCAACGCCTTCGGTGGTGGCGGAACTCCCTGGAGTTAATTATGCCTTATGGTAGGGTGTCTGATCGCGCACCCGATGTTGTGTGCTAAAATACTTCCCATAGAGATTGCACGCATCCCTATGCAGTCTACGTGCATTGCGCGACCATGAAAATTGGTCAATGATTTTATGAAAAAAATTGAAATTCAAACCTTTGGGGCTTGTGATCCTGAAGGTAAAACTCAATAAATGAGGTGTCATATGAAAGAGCAGGTTTTTCTCCATATTCTCCAAAGGGGCGCACCCCCGAAATTCTAAAAATATCTTGGTCAAAACAGCGATTTAAATGTTGTTTGCATCCTAGCTCCAAAATTTGCCACTTTCCTGAGCTGCGCCCCCGGGCTTATGTCCGGCTAGACGTAAGGAAAATATGAATGCACTTATTTTTTCGCTAGCCCCAAGAGATCACTCGCCCCAACAGTTTAAAAATACCCTTCCCACATTTTTGGAATCAGCTAATTAGGGAGGCGTGAGCTCCGCTCAGTCCAAACCATGGTTACATCGCGTAACATGTGCGCTTATAGTGAATGAAAGTATGGATGGCCGTTCCCACCATAAACCCCGGAAGTGAATACACGTTATAGTCAATGGCAATATCGCGGAGACATCTCCGCGATATTGCCATTGACTATAACGTGCATTCACTTCCGGGTTTTTTGTGCGACGAACGCTAACCATACTAGTCAATGGCACGTGTCGCGGAGACAGCGTAGCTCAAGCTTGCAAGTCGCGCATTGGCTTAGCAGCATGCGTACGATATGCATACGCTTGCATATCGCGCGATACAGCTGTTTGGCTAAATTTAGCAAAACAACATCACTCTGCGTGGACGTCTTTTTCGTCGATTTTGACCAAAATGATATGAATATACCAGCATTTTGGAGGGACTGTATCTTTTGATTGAAACATCGGTGAAGCTTCAAATTTGAAATGTATTATTCTGACTACACTTTTTATTCAAATATCAAACAAAAATGGTGAAAAACGATCACAAATTGAAAATTGAAAAATCGTTCAGACACCCTACTTATGGATTAACATGATCTAGATCTAGTCACAAAACATGTCGAGCCACAGTCAAAACATGTCGAGCAACATGCTTAGATTTAGACCGAATTTTCCGTCTCTTTCGTTCGTTAGCCTCTTATTGGGGTAGGGTCGGCCGGCTCTCTCTTTAGAGACGGAAACCGTCTATACACATTCCCTTGATAACGCCACGGCCATTTCAGGTCGTAGCGTTTTGCCCCCAAAATCCCCCAAAATGTCATTTTACCTCGTGCATTTTATATTGTAAATTAGGCCTAGGCTATAATAAATCAGTTCCACTTACCAACTTGACTGAAATAATCAGTTTAATAGTCCCTTTTTAGGAATTTATGGGTCAAAATCGAAATCCATGTTGAAAAAGATTTTCAAAATGGATTTCGATTTTGACCCATAATTTCCTAAAAAGGGACTATTAAACTGATTATTTCAGTCAAGTTGGTAAGTGGAACTGATTTATTATAGCCTAGGCCTAATTTACATGTGGATATGCACGAGGTAAAATGACATTTTGGGGGATTTTGGGGGCAAAACGCTACGACCTGAAATGGCCGTGGCGTTATCAAGGGAATGTGTATAGACGGTTTCCGTCTCTAAAGAGAGAGCCGACCCTACCCCAATAAGAGGCTAACGAACGAAAGAGACGGAAAATTCGGTCTAGCTTAGATTCTACTTAAATTTAAAAGAAATCAGCTTTAGTTTCAGGAAAGGCACAGATTACCACAACATTAGTTACCTCTGCAGTTTGTCTTTGAAGAGAGCGTCAACACCCCAAAAAAAAAAAATGTTTTCTCCAAGCAGACAGGTTTTTCACAAGTGACAGTGTTTACTGAGTCAGTGAGTGTCAGTGACAATGAACATTGAAAACACAACCCACTTCATCATTGCAATTGCATTGACATTGTCTTGCGTAGACCTGGTTTGGGATAGAAGGGTCTTCCATTCTTACAACCACCATCAGCATATTAATCCTCATTCATGTTCTTAGTTTAGACCCATTTATCAATAAATAAAGTGTCACTTACCGTATGATTCTGACATTTTTAGATCATTCAGGGGTCTCTTCTCTGACTCAGCTAGCTGCTCGTAAATTTCTCCACCTTGTCAATATAATCCCAAACGATCAAATAATTGTTTTAGAATATATATAATAAGAATTTAAAAAGATATAATTTTGCAATTTAATAAATATTTATAGTAATATTTATTTATTTTATTGTTTTAATTTGATTAAAAAGTAAATACTATTTATGTTTTTTATTGTAATCATTATTCATATACAGGGGTATTAGATCGAAAAAGGACTTCGAGCGAGATGAGAAATCAGCTGGCAGCGTAGCATAATCTATGCGTGCCAAAGAGAGATCAGTCCCGAAACTAAACAGACGAGCATATTGTGGTATACAGGCATGTATTTCTCGTACAGGAATACATACATGATCACATTCACGACATAAATACCAACTCTTTTCTTTCGTATTTAGCATCTGGCCCTTTTCTTCCTTCTTTTCTTTTGTTGGTCAAGTAGCATGCATAGTCTCTGGGAAAATTGCGGGGTCTATCTTGAAATTATAAAGTCTAAACATTTCATTATGGTATGTCTTTTTGCGGCGATGGGAATATGATGATCAATTTCAAAATCCTTGTTAACTTTTTTCATGTGTTACCCTATATGGCAGTTGACAATTTTTCGAAGGCGAGGTTTCTTCGACTTTTGGAGCATTCATGTCGGGATTCATGCCGGGGATTCATGTAGTCTTTTCCACATCTTCAAATATTATGTTATTCACATTTTGCATAGTTTCAAAGAATACTACATATCTTATAACTGTTTAGTTACTCATAAAATCATTCTGTTCACGTATAGATCAGGGGATTCTGTCCAAGCTAAGCATGCATATATATATATATAGGGGCCTCTCTCTCTCTCCTTTTTTTCGTCCCCCGCTTCTTTCGGCTTCCTTTTCCTTTCTTTCCTCTCCTTATATCCTCTTTTTCTTTTTTTCTCTTTCTGTCCTCTCTTTCCTTTCTGTCCTTTCTTTTCCTTTTCTTTCCCATCATCCCTTTCCTTTTCCCCTCCCCCTTTTCTCGGACAGCAGCGCAAATTTATCCTGACAAGTGGGGGGGGGGGGGGGGGGGGGGGGGGGCCGGGGGCCGGGGGGGGGGGGGGGGGGGGGAGGGGTGTCGCAACCTCTCAGATTTGAATGGAGACAGTCATTATCAAAGGTGAATGGGGCACAAAAAGGGCACTTATGAGGATGGGAAATGGACACTGTCTTATTGCAAAGGAAAATGGGAACTTAATTGTCACTAAGGGGCACTTATCAGAGATGAAAAGGGGGAAGGGGCACTTTTACAAAGTAATAGGGGCGCGTTTTAAAGTAAAAGGGGGAATTTTGGGGTACTTAATTGAAAAAAGTGTTACGGGGATTTTTTGCATGAACTATGTGAACAACAAAAACAGTGGCAATTGAAATATATCAAAGACGTTGATCATTAAGAAGGATTATTGCCCATTTATCATTGTAATGGGTAATGTTAATTGTGATCTCTTAAAACGACCTGTATTTTCCAGACTTTATTATTTCGAGCGAGTGAGACCTCAGAATGCACAAGAGTTGTGATTATATAATTATACTAACCAATTGTATTGATAAAACAAAGTCGTTTGGTAAAATCAGAAACTGCTTTATATGCTATGAGTTTTCTGGTATCACATCTTGCTAATACAAAATGAAGAAAAAAATGTATGAAATATTTAGAAATTGTAAAAGATAATCGATATTGAGGGTTTTAAAAAAGGGGTTACAAACCAAAATTGGTATGGTATAGACGATTACGAAGCCGTGTATAAATGGGAATAACTTTATCAAATATTTTAGGATATAGTACTCGATTTAAAACAAAACACAAACATTCTCCGTGGGTAAATTAATCTCTTTACACAATAAAGAAAGAGATAAACAATGTTCCGGAAAAGGTTAAGTTATAAAGACGAAACTATATAGTATAGTTGCCTGAAATATAAAGTCACGTCTGAAAATATAGAAAAAACAAGAAGAAATTAAAAGATTAAGTCAAAACCAAAGTAGAAGTGAATATTGGAGAGTTTCATTATCTATTATATCTCATGAATACGTTTTATCTTCTGTTCCTATATCTTTCTGACACTTTATCACAGCAAATGAGTTTAATATGCACTTTGCCAATGTTGAGAATGCTATATTTAGTGATGAAAAAGAAAACCATAGAGAAAAACACAGCAATATCCCCTCGCCGAGCGTACTACGGAAGTAAGTCAGAGTAAATTATCTTGATACATTATTAAAGGTCTCTGTTTTGGAATGACGTATATATCATCGCGCATATATAACGCCGTTGTTTATAATAGAGCTAGTTCCTGAACAAATGCCTTGTCGTACTTTTACTAGTAGTACCTGTATGCTCTCTGTATTAATTATCTGACAAAATGGAGATCAAGACGCTATGTATTCTGTTGATGTTCGTCGGTATAGCTGTAGCTGTCAAAAATAGGATGGAAAAGGGAATGGCAGGGGGCATTTTTGACTCTGCTAAACCGAAGTCGATTCCGCAAGACGTTGTTGAGAGTGCACTGGTGAAATTCGAAAGTATGAGGGCCCGCCTCGAAGGGAGATATGGCCGTTCATTGACTAGACCTTCTGTAACACAAGTAAAAGTTCAGGTAAGTTGTTGAATTTGAAAGATAAATCTGATTTATTTTCAGAACTGCTTATGCTAGTAAAACTGATCAATCTTTCGTTGCCATAGGCTAGCCTTACAAGTTACAGCCTTGGTGATTTATGAAATAGTCTGAGTAGCCTAATGATACTTAATATGCTCTAAGTCGATATTGAATATAATAAGCCTGTATATATTGTCTCTTTCTATTGATATATTTCGTAAACTTTCAATTATCACCAAGCACTCCAGCTCAAAAATGCTCCCTCCCATCAAGTATTTTAAGCAGTCTCAAACTTTTGTCTTCCACATAAATATACTACTTCGGTACAGGTATATACCGGTATATCGAAGAAGGTACTAGAAATTGATGTCCAGTTATCAATTCTTGCTGTATTTGTTATTTAATGCATTGCCAGTCCTGTTTTGTGGTTACCCTCTGAACTGGTATGAGCAGTTGGCTGGTATTCCTCCAAGAACACCTGTTGCAAGAAAGACAATGCATGCCATATGATTGATTTTTTGTTTGTTTTTGTATTCTCCATTTTACAGGTTGTCAGAGGCTTGATGTACCATGTTACAATCATTGCCGGGTTATCACCAACTCCAAAGGAAAGCAAATCTGTTCGACCAGAAGTTCAGAAGGTTTGTTCAAAGGGTTACCAAGTGAAGTAATACTCATAAGGGTTTTAAATATACATGTACACGTATGATGTCGGTTACGAAAGTAAACAAACAAACACAAAACAACAACAACAAAACATACATATTCACAAATTTGAGATAGGAGAAAACTAACGCAAAAAACTGAAGTAAATGAAAATCACATTCTATGTTAACAAGCTTTTTACATCTTACATGTTAATTTTCACTGTTTTGTAATAAGGCTTCCTTTCCTGTAAAATGTTTATACAATGTTCCTTTTCTGTATTAAATCTCTTGAAATGTAGGATTTCTTTGAGTGTCACATCAAGGTTTGGAGTCAGCCCAAGATGAATTCTGAAAGCTCTCTATCTCTGAAAGCCCAAGACTTTAGTATCACAAAGGATTGCCAAGCATCGGATATAAAAGTAAGTGAAAAGCAGGTTTTGTATTACATAAAGTGTTTGAAGTGTTAAGTATGACATAAAGTGAATATGTGAAGGACCGAAGTTGCCATCTATTTATTAGGAAAAATCACTCTTTTTTTTTGGTGGCGCTTTACTGGGTCACATCTGAACATATTTCCACACCTTTCCACACTCTTTTAACGCCTGACATATTTTAGAGAGCTTCACTCAGCCAACTCACAGAAGTAGCCTGGTCCTTATACATCTTTATGTCTGCAAACAAGTTTCATCCGAACTGCAGTTACAATACATTGTTGTAGTATAGAGCCGGAAGGCGGCCTATCATGGTGATCTCTTGGGTATAGTTTCAGTTTCTAGTAAATTGTTGTGAAATTGTGAAATTGGATCAGTATAGTTACATATGCAACATTCAGAGCAAAAGTATTTTCAGTTGATTGGTACACTTTAAAGATACCCAGTCACTATGACATTTATGACAAATTTAGAGACAAAATTAGATTATGGTCCTAAATACTTTAATGATAAGAAAACTGGTTTATTTGGTCTACCGGTAATTTGATTTTTAATAGATTAAAGAGATGGCTAACCCAGATAGAAATGGTTGTGATATGTAGGGAGATAAATCACTAAAAATGCACATTTGATAAAAGATCATTAATTTTGCAATTTAAACAGTGACATAATAATAATAATAATAATAATAATAAACAATTTTTATTTTCGTTTTTCAAAGTTTTTATAAATATGTTATGAGACAAAACTAAATTTGCATTGTCTTGTCTTTTTATCCAAGGATGAATACCGTGATCTGTTTGATAAGTTTCTGATGACATTCAAGAGGGAATACAGACAGAATGATGGCACAAATGGTAGGTAACCGCATATGGAAGAGAGAGAAGTTGCATGATAAATATTACCCTTTTTATGCTTCCGCTCACCAAAGATGGTGCAGGGGGCATTATGTTTTCAGATCGTCCATCCGTGTGTCCTGCTTTCTCATTATCATGATATCTTAAGGACCTCTTGAGGTATGACTTTAAAACTTGGTGATAGCATAATTTGTATCACCAAAAGAAGACATTCTGAATAGATTTTGGAGTAAGTAGGCCAAAGGTCAAAGGTCATAGAAGTCAATTTATGAATGTACAGGTATTGGCCCTCACCATTGCGATATCTCAAGAACCACTAGAGGTATGAGATTCAAACCTGGTGATAGTATGTATCACCATAGGAACTTTGAACATTCTTGTAATAAGACTATAATGTTTACTGGGATGAAATTCAAAACCCTTGAACGTTTTTCATGTGCTTTCCAATAATAATTTGGTGGAGTTTCTATGAGATTAATAAG